GTGACATATGATGCACACCTGCGAATAGTACATACAACAATTTAATTGTAGAACTCTTAAATAATGAAGAAATTGGACGGCGAAGAGGATGTAATTTATATCTGGGCATTTCAAATATTCGTCTTGGATGATGCCTTAGGAAATAAAACTTTGTACATTTTCTAGACACAGGAAGATTTAATTTTTACAGTTTCATTGCAGGAAATAATTCACAAGCAATACGCATATTTAAGAATAACGGGACCGTATTAATAAACTTGTGTTAACTCAAATATTGAAAAACGTTTATTCAAAATGAGGGCTTTTACAGCAATAATGTAGGATGGGAAGTCTATAGCATGTGAACACTTGAAACTTTTAACTTAGGTTTAACAACAAAAATCCGTCTGTTCCTCGGACTGCCTGCCCATTCATCCGTGTTTAAACAACGCTAGCGGATAAACGGTAAGCAGGATTTTTATGAAAATTTTCACTTTCCGATCGAGCTGGCAGAATCTCATTTTTCCTTCACATTTCCTGTTGAATAGAATGAAATTCACGTACAGAAATGGCACGGGACCAATATTTATTATTGGTTCTGAATTTTCAAAAATTGTTAATGCATTTTATTGTATTCATTTTCATTTCAAAATTGTATGCATTTTCTCGACCTCTTCATACTACTACGTTATTAAAGACATAGATTTTTCCTTTTAATGACGTTCGCTGTTTGTTTTTTAAAATCAGTGCTTATATTTATGTCATGTATATTTTTTGAAAATATTTCATGTAATATGGGTAAATTTAAAAACATTTTCTGAAACTTCTTGTACGGAGACATTGATTACTGACTCCACGGGCGTCATCTTCTAAGGTCATTATTCCCGCAAGTCTGGTGCATGTTTTAGCGCGACGTTGTCCGACCTTCCCCCTCTTGGTCGCGATATCACCCACTGACCTATCTAACGGCTTGCGGGGTATTCCCCAACCAGGTATCTCCCACCAGCCGACAACCGCCCTAGCCGGGACAATCTCTAAGCTCCCAAGTAGAATCTCGTCATGTGTGAAAGTGTCATTCATGTAAGTGTAAGTGTGTGTAGGTAAAGGGTGAGGATATGCCGAGGAAGAGGAAGGAAAAATCGCGTTCGGTCCGTGGCCCGTTTGCTAGGGTACTGCTCCGGTATTCACCTGGTGTTGATCAAAGAAACAACGTAAAACTACCGTTCAGAGCAGCTGGCAGATATAATTCTCCTCCAGACAGGGGCTGTATTCGGCATAGCAACGTAGCTAGTGTCAAACTATGCTACCGTACGAACTCTAGGATTGAATTTGCATGAAAACAACGTATACGCTTTCGTAGAACAGATGTAATTGGCGATCTACCATTTACAACTCATACATATTGCCTTAAATAGCAACAATAACTGGGGATTGGCATGCATATTTCTGTCATGCTCCATCATAAAATTTCTAATAATCAAATTATTGTGACAACAATTCGATGTTTTTGAGAAAAATTCTGCTTGTTCTAATCTCCCATCGACTCTAATAAAAACCTTCGTGATGTATAAAAAGGAATAGACTATAAATTTTATTTCCGGTCATTGTCATTTTTTAGGTCATTGTCTTTTACTACTCGTAAAAACAAGGTAAGTAATTACAGCCTGGCTAATCGTTTGATTCATTATTCTTACATTACCTTATGTTGCGTCAAATTCAAAGGCTTCCCTAAACTAAAGGATATAATATTTAATTGCAATGTCATGTCCAATAAGCAACGAGTTTGATGCCAAGTGCAATATTTGTTAGCTACTTTTATTTTCGCAGAATATAATTAAACTAACTGATATTGATTATTTAATTTCACATGTCTCAACTGAGGTAATAAATTTTGAGAACTAGATGGATCTGGTACTTCATTCCATGGAGCCTTGTTTGATTGAGACATAGTTTTATAATCAATTACATCAGAGTTAAGCAATGTATTGTGTTTTTGTGACATATTTTGCAACCAGAAGATTTACAAACTTTCATGGTATATCCTGTTTTAAGACAATTATAACATGCATTAATTGCTTGACTGCAAGTCAAATGAATATACTTTTCTACAACTGATGTCTAAAAACCGAACAAACAATTAAATAGGCTTAGTACACAAGAAATAATTTGTAATTATCATTAACGACTGCTGATAAGATTTTCTTGAACTTATTTTGCTAAAACTGTTTTATTTTTATAACTTTTGTATACAAGTGTGTTAGAATGTTGAATCTTGCCCAAAATAGTTTAATGATGCCTCAATAATTCAACTAGCTACTTGTAAGTGGTTAATTCATTAAACTTATTTTCCTGTTCCCAATCATGTCTTCTTTGTGTATTAATTTTGAAGATGGAAGATGCAGTGAATACATCACAATTCTCAAAGGGATGCCCCAATTATTTTTACATAATAATATTAGTTTCAAAAGTAGCTAAAAATTTCCTCAATGAGGAAGCTGATAAACGTTCCAGTTTATTTAACTCAAAAATATCACTATTTTGAGTTATGAGGGCATTATTCTCAATTATGGTACTAAGCATCCCCCAAGCTAAGTCAAAAATTTCTTCTATGAGGAGCAAAAGGTTGTGCTGCATTACCCTTCACTATTCTCTTTAAATAAATATTTCTACATTGTTTAAAGAATTTTGTATTAACTACTGTGTGAAACACTGCTTTGATGTTCTTCCATTAAGAAAATTTACCTCATAATTTAATCAGCACCATTTTAGATAACTTTAATAGAGGCTTTTTATGTTTGCTCTCAACAGTTAATGATGATTTTCCTTTATCCTTGTCTGATAAGGCTAATTTACTTATATTTGATTTTTTTTCAACCAACACCAATTCCTTTTCTAAAATGTTAAATAATCACTTACACTTCAAAGCTACCAGTTTCTCTTTGAACAACAAACCAAAAGAAGTACATCATCTACTTCTAAAACCTGTACTTGAATATTTTCAAACTCTTCCCACAATAATTGTTATTTTTCTATTTTGAGTTAAAGTGCACATTTACTTAACATTTCTAGTATGATAAATATGTATTACATTGAGTTATTTTAGGCTGAACAAAGCATTTGTTTTTAATTAATGATTGTCTCCTTTTCTTAGAAATTTTACTCTCATCTTAACTCATTTTGAAAATATTACATTCAGTGAGTGTTCAGCACAATTAACCTCAAAATAAAAACTCAATTATATGAGAAACAATGAGTAATTGCGCATAAAAAACAACGTCAAATAAGTTGACTGATTCATTTCAACATGCCTTCATGATAACTTGTTTGAATTGTAACAAAGTTTCAATTGCAACCATAACTGTCCTACAACCATCAAACAGTCCTCCATCCCAGTACGTTTTAGTTTTAATGTCTCTCGTCCCGAGCGAAAATATGATTACATATGAAATATTGACTTTACATCAGTCGCCAATGGGGGAGTGATACCGTAGCCTATAATGTTATAAAAGCGAAATGGAGTCTGAAACTTTGGTTTACAAAGATCGTGCTTAATTTTTGTATATATTGTTTTGCACACTTTTACACTTTTAAGTTGCTTAGAATACATTACCTTATAACTTGCAACACTTGATACACTGAAGCACCATGGTTCGTTTTGCACCGTATTATAAGCTTGGAATAAAACGATGAAGAAATGTATTTTGGCGGTGTACTAACACCATACTCATCGTCTACAGAGCGAGGACTGACACGAGAGGCTTTGGGATCCGAATCGTTAGGGCCGGGAACGAATCCCTATGACTCCGAAACCTGTGTTTTGGTTGGTCGAATCTCTAACTCAAAGAGTTGATAATGTATACCTTGTCGCACCTCAGGCCGTGCCTCTTCAAATGGCAGAGTGTGCGCCGCTCATGTCTAGGGTTATATATTCAAATGCCATGAAAGTCTCTTCATCTCTGTAATCTTGTAACTCACGTAATTACTTAAATAATCTTTCTTCGTTCCGCAATTGCCTGAGTAATCCGGGAACTAGTTTCCTGTACTTAATCACTAACATTCTTTTAGGTGTTTTATACAATGAAAGTTACTCCCTTTACGAAGGTAGACCAGATCTGCAATATCAGCATATTCGTTGAGCTTATTTTAATTTTGAAACTAGAGGTACTAGTGAATTCACAAAAACGCACACCCGACTAAAGAATGCGTCGGAAAGCATCCACAAGATCTCAAAAGCTTAACTGTATAAAGGATTCTCTAACTAATTAAATTTTTTTAAAAAGAATTTTGATTCAGAAATGCTTTGGATATGATTAATTAATAAAGGTTTATGATTATTTCTATACATGTGTGTAGATCACACTTGTTACCATGAAAAAACTGAAACTTGTCAGACAAATATTCAAATATAAATTAATGAAAATTTAATCTTTTAGAAAACTGTAGTGGCTCTAAGAGAGTAGAATCATTATTCCATTTTACCTTGGCACCATCGAAACTAAATAAACGCCAGCACTAACAGCAGCTGCCGATGACGCCGCCCTCGCGATAAGAAGGCACGAGGCGGCGAGTGCCGGCGAGGCGAGGGCGGGGACAGCCGTCCAAGCACCTTGATGCGCTCGTTAAGGCGCCGAGAGCCGTGATCAAGGGCTCTCAAAGCCCCGCCCACCCCCGCGCCCTCTCAGCCGCTCAC